TAAAAAAAAAAAAAAAAAGCAGATCAACAACAAAAGCTACAAATTTCAACATGACAAAGCACTTGAATTAGTCTTATTCGTCCAAAAGCAAGAACAACAACGCCTCCTACTGTAAAACAAGTCCACCAGTATCTGATATGCTCTCCCTAAGGCCTTCCTCAAATGCATCCATGGCACAATGCGTAGCCCCAGTATGGATCTTTTCTTCCTCCTCCATGCTTAAGCATGATTAGCTGAACCTAAAGTTGCCATCTTTCTTCAGGAACTCTCCTATATCAGCAAGAATTAGCGTTAAGAAAGCTATGTAGCCCTGTATGAATTGAACAAAATTCCCTTCTTGAATCAAAAACATCTCGGCAACTGTTACATGAAAACTGCCACTTGCAAGGTGATGACCAAAACCCAGAAACTCGACATTTTGAAGGCCTGTAATTAAAATTCCCTTCTAGATTCATTATTACAATTAAAATTACTACTAAAAATTCAACAATTAACAAGATTATAAGAAGTCTTTTTTCATTGCAAATATGCAATTAGACTTGTTAATTTATTAAATACTTGATAGCAATTTTTTTTAAAAAAAAAGCTTGTATCTCATCATTTTATCCTGACAATAGTTACATCCTTGCTCAATACAATAACCCTATTATCCTTCAAAAAATAAATACTCGTAAAAAAATAAAAATAAATAAATAAAAAATAAATAATAATAATAATAATAATAATAATAATAATAATAATAATAATAATAATAATAATTCATCAAATTAACAACAACAACAAGAAGCATAATTTAATGACAAAAACGAGGTAAATAAAGATAATGGATGTTTATCACATCAATTCATGTTTATAATTATCAAAAATCTCATCAAAACATCCCTTCAAAAAAAATCATAACAGTTGAAAAAATATTTAGAAATTAGATAAATCATAGAATTAATTTGTTTAATACATCATATAAACAAAATATACAAATAAAAAAAAATGAAGCTGAGAATAGGTGAATACCTGAAACCTCATGACTTCATTAGCCATGCTTGCCTTCTTCGCTTCTTCAGTAGCAGAAATTAGAGACAGAAAAACTAAGGAAGATGATACTGAGTATAACTTTTTGGGCCTAGCCCAATTGCTACATTTTATCACGGCCCAATATATTTTCTAACTGGGCCTTATGTTGGGCACGTAATTCAAGTCAGTATTGTTGTATAATTGTATCAATGGTTCAACTGTTAACCAACCCTGACCTAAACTGAAGAGTATTGTTTGAACTGAAACTAACCAAACCCCGAATGGTTCATAACTGAAAATTCAATGGGAAAAAAATTAATTACCACTTAAGTTAGTTGAAACTGAATTAATTTATAAATTGAAATTAACTTAACTGAACTGAATTATTTGGCCTTGGCATTGATTATTTTTACATTCTCAACCCTTAAATGTTTCACCTTGTTCCCTTATGAAAAGTAGCAACATGTGCCAATTGCATGTGTGAGCTTGTTTTCTTTCTTTTGGTGTAGAGAAAATTTGAGAAAGTTGTGTCCCAAGTACCAACTAATGTCGTTCCATATGAACTCATGAATGATCTTGCATATTAATTTATCTTGCTATGTAACAATACAAATACTTTGATCATTTATATATTTTGATTTCAGATTAGTAAAAATTATTAAAGTTTATATCTATCAAGATTTTTTTATATAACGCATCTCATATAACAATACGGCTAGTCAAACTCGAAATATTTTAATCTACTCGTCATAGTCGTCAATACAGCACCAATACACTAGAAGTCCAGAACATCCACTAGTTTAAAGCGAGTGAGTCTGGGCGCATAGCATTTATGGCCGAGTTATGTAAATAGGAGGGTAAGGAAGTAATTTCCGCTGATTCAATTTTTGCTTCTAGAATAAGTTGACTCTCTAGTGGTACATTATAATGCACCATTATGCATGTATAATGTACCATTAAAGTAAAATTTGTCTGAATAGTACGTTTTGTGGACTATTACGAGTGTAGTGGTACTTTTTACCATCCTATAACTTTCAATTTCTTGAAAAAGCTGACTCTCTAAGGGTACATATAATGTACCATTATGCATGAATAATGTACCACTAAAATATAAGTTATCTGAATACTACTTTTTAATTGCAAAATTGTCATCCTATATGCTTAGAAATCAATAGGCGCTATGAGCCAAGACTTAACCGTTTAACGCACTCATAAGTTCACGTGTTTCACTCAAAGAGCTAACAGGCCTAACACCAAAGACCTCTGAAATTCTGAGCAAAAAAAAAAAAAAAAAAAAAAAAAGACAGAGAGAGAAAAAAACACACACACAGCTTACCTTCAGAGCCCTGAAATTATCTCTAAATTGCCAAATATTACATGATATAATCAATTAAGCAAAGAATGATACCTATTTTTGCATTAATTCCATACATTCTTCTTTTCAGTTCTAAAATTTGCTCTGCAATTGACAGTATTACACCAACACAATTCCTAAAAGACTCAGAATCAATACTTTCTAAAAATAGCATTTTCAAGCTAGGATTTTTCAGCCCTCAAAACTCTTCCAATCGTTATGTTGGAATCTTATATAATCACCCTTTTGAAATGGAAGTTGTATCTTGTATGGGTAGCTAACAGGAACAATCCCCTCACTGATACTTCTATTGTACTTAAGATATCACTCGACGAAAATCTGCAAGTCTCTGATGCAAAAAATATCAGACTGTTTGGTCATCCAATGTCACTCATCCTACAGCTGGTTTCGTAGCAGCTCAACTTCAAGATTCCGGGAACATTTTTATCCAAGGATTTCCGAACAACACGAGTCGTGGCAATGGGACGATCATATGGCAGAGTTTTCAGTATCCTGCAGACTCAGTCTTACCAATATGAAGTTCATTCTTAACAATAATCCTGAATTCAGGAAAGTCGTGCAGGCCTGGAAAAGTCCTTCAGATCCATCAGTTGGAAGGTACTCAGTTGGTACTAACTCTAGGTTTTTTTCAGATTATCATATGGGATGGGGATCGCCCTTATTGGCGAAGTGGACCTTGGAATGGAAACATTTTCATGGGAACAAGATATTATAATACTGGTTATGGTAATATACTCATTAACACCGGGTCATTCGCACAGGAGGAAGTAAGAGGGATGCTTTCTCTGGTTTTTACAGGTGCGAATGAGACTTTGTTGCCTCGTTATGTAATAATTGATCAAGGGATATTAGCTGAAAGTGGTGGGATGATAGCAAGAAGAACAGGGGAATTGCGTGGCATGCCCCGGAAAATATATGTGACACCTATGGTATGTGTGGAGAATTTGGAAACTGCAACCCGCAGACTAAACCTATGTGCAGCTGCTTAAAAGGGTTTGTGCCAAAGAACGCGGAGGAATGGAGGAGAGGAAACTGGACAAGTGGGTGTGTGAGAAGAAAGAAGCTGCAATGTGGGGTTCAAGGGGGAAAACAAGATGGGTTTTTGAGGTTAAAGATGATGAAAGTGCCAGTTAATGCTGATATTGCTGAATGGTTTGTGGTCTGAATCTTGATCAGTGCAGAACAACCTGCCTGGCAAACTGCTCTTGTTTGGCTTATACACATGATACTGGAACTGGATGTATGAGATGGAGCGAGAACTTGATTGACATAGAGGACCTTTCACCTGGAGGGGTGGACCTATTCATTCGGCTTGAACAATCAGAGCTAAGTAAGTTAATCATACCTCTTTGAAATTTTGAATGCTAGACACTTTAGGAGATATTATAGGCTTCTGAATTCTCATCTTCCCACCTAGTAAAAAAGATCATGTTAGTATGCATATGTAAAATAATTTCTTCTGCTTTGAAGGTACTAGTAAGAGATATGACTTTAGGAACAGCAGTGATTGCCACTATCATATACTTCCTGTTCAAATGGAGAGCTCGGAAAAAGGGTAAACACACATCGGATAGAAATAGAAAATCTAAATCAATACCAGAGAAAAAAGCTGGGAAAGCAACAGATTCATATCTATTCAAAGACAAAACCAAGTAATGATTGAAGACTTAAAAGTCTCAAACTTGAAGATCTGATAATAGCAACAGACGGCTTTAGTGAGAGTAACTTGCTCGGAAGGGTGGTTTTGGCCAAGGTAAGAATGAGTTCAATTCAAACATGATCTTACGTAGTCTAAAATGCAACAAAACGTAGCAGGAGATAATATGATGTTTGTTTACAGGGTAAACTAGAAAATGGTCAAGAAATAGCAGTAAAAGGCTTTCAAGAGCATCGGGCAAGGTGTAGAAGAATTCATCAACGAAGTTGAATCATCTAAAAACTTCAGCAATTTCAGATTTCTAATAAGCTGTAATCAAGCGAAACAGGAACATCATTATAAAACGGAGGAATAGTACATGTTAAAAGAAAAAATAAAACAAAACACTCAAATTACATTAATTATACTAGTTCGTATGTGATATATTGCCTTTGGATTCTAACACCTTATTGCAGCTAGATTGATGGGGCAGTAAGCTGTGTATCTCCTTTGTGTATTCCTTTATCGTTAAAATTATGTACTAATACAACGGGACAAGCGAATCGACCCAAGGATGAAAGGAAATGATCCTTTCGGTACATCTGGTAAATTTTGTGGCTTCGATCTCCCTAGCTTGTTTGGATTGTAGATCACAGCAGATGAAAACCTTTTGTAGAGCTCTTGTACGGTCAGCTATTGCTAATATGATACTGCGTCGTTCATCTCGGAAACCCAAATTATATATTTTAGCATGATGAAAATCAACATGTTTCAATTGCCCCGAGAGATGATGAAAAATTCGAGTCCAAGATATCTTCTTCTTGTTTAATACCCATATCTCCAAAGTATATGTTACGATACACAACTGTCCTTCTAAAATGGTCAATTCTGAGTCATCTTCACAGTTGGTATAGTTTATCTCTCTCTTTACCGGATGGGGTATCTGGTAATACCTTTGAGTGAAAAGATCGAAACACCTTATTCCTGTAAACAACAAGGATTCATCCAATGGAAGGAGTTGTCAGCCAAGATAGCAGGTCGGGGGCTCATACAAAATTGATTCAACTGCCATGGCGGGCTCGGTATGTTCACCCAGGCATCCGTTTTCAAACTGTATAGTAGAGCTTTTTCGACATTTCGATCATTCCTCTCCATACAAATGGCTAAAACCTTATAATCATCGGATACACTGTCATAACCGAATGCAACTTCACGTTTCAATAAATTATTCATCGGGGAATTGAGTGGTGGTATCAATCTAGTGGCTCGAGTCGCAGGGTTGTAGAGAAACAGGCCTAGATTATTGTTGTAAGCAGATTTGTAAAAGGGTTGTAATGTTATTGAATGAAAACAAACTAGGCCATTGCATGAGCCTAAAACACCTCCCATGGTGCGAGGCTTTATGATGTCTTTCGGATAAGCAAGTTCCGAAGCATGGTAATAGGGATGCTGCGATGTAGCTCTAAAAGAGTAGACTTTGGATTTCCAGCACTCGAAGAGGAAATGCGTTTCCAGGTTTGCTTTGAGGGATCGACTGCGATGCAACTTCATGAACTTTGGATCTTTGGTAAGCATATACCACGATGAAGAGACACATGCAGATCGCAGCAGAGACTTAGCGGGTAGCCATGAGAGTATCTCAGTGATTAGTTCAAACGGAAGGTAGCAACAATCGGTCTTCGCTTTCTTCTCCATCCTCAGTATGCTTTAATTTAACAACTACACTACGAATTGTTGGTGCTTAATTGCTTATATAGGGAGATAAACAAAGATCAATCATACCTTTTACAATTCCAATTAGGATTAGGATTAGGATTAGGATAGTTATTGCGGTTGTATTAGGGATATTTACTTCTTACAAGATCCTTGGTCTCCAAGGTTAATTTAAACAACCTTGATTCCCAAGGATGTGTAATACACTAATACTTGGTCTTCAAGACATTATATGGTCGCCAAAAATTAAAAATAATATTTTTTTTTTTATTTTTTTGTTATGATAACCATTAACCAATGAGAGAAGATGTATTTCCTAAACTAAACGTTAGATATTTTAATAGATATTTAAAAAGATTTGATTGAAAAGATAAACCAAATTATTATGGGATACATGATGCATCATTTAGTAACAAAAGTATTGACCAATTTACTTTGAATAATCTCAATTGTAAAAAATTTGCACAAAAAAAAAATAAAAAAATAAAAAAAAATCCCTTAAAATATCCTTTTAAATTAGGAAAAATATACTTTATTAATCCCAAGTTTGACCAATTTACTTTGAATAATCTCAACTATCGATTATTTGCAATAATCCCAACTTTCACCTTCGTTTTCTTCTATCAACCTTGAAAACCAGTTACCTGCTGAAGATGTTTTTTTTAAAAATATAAAAAATGTCACGTGTCACGAGATACATCCCTTGAAGGCTTGAACAGATTCCTCAAAATTGACATCTTGCCTCATAGCTGCAGTCAATTTTTTTATCGGAAAACGAAGATTTATAAATTAATTAAAACCAAATCCACAAGCATAAAAAAAAAAAAAAAGCAGATCAACAACAAAAGCTACAAATTTCAACATGACAAAGCACTTGAATTAGTCTTATTCGTCCAAAAGCAAGAACAACAGCGCCTCCTACTGTAACAAGTCCACCAGTATCTGATATGCTCTCCCTAAGGCCTTCCTCAAATGCATCCATGGCACAATGCGTAGCCCCAGTATGGATCTTTTCTTCCTCCTCCATGCTTAAGCATGATTAGCTGAACCTAAAGTTGCCATCTTTCTTCAGGAACTCTCCTATATCAGCAAGAATTAGCGTTAAGAAAGCTATGTAGCCCTGTATGAATTGAACAAAATTCCCTTCTTGAATCAAAAACATCTCGGCAACTGTTACATGAAAACTGCCACTTGCAAGGTGATGACCAAAACCCAGAAACTCGACATTTTGAAGGCCTGTAATTAAAATTCCCTTCTAGATTCATTATTACAATTAAAATTACTACTAAAAATTCAACAATTAACAAGATTATAAGAGTCTTTTTTCATTGCAAATATGCAATTAGACTTGTTAATTTATTAAATACTTGATAGCAATTTTTTTTAAAAAAAAAGCTTGTATCTCATCATTTTATCCTGACAATAGTTACATCCTTGCTCAATACAATAACCCTATTATCCTTCAAAAAATAAATACTCGTAAAAAAATAAAAAATAAATAAATAAAAAATAAATAATAATAATAATAATAATAATAATAATAATAATAATAATAATAATAATAATTCATCAAATTAACAACAACAACAAGAAGCATAATTTAATGACAAAAACGAGGTAAATAAAGATAATGGATGTTTATCACATCAATTCATGTTTATAATTATCAAAAATCTCATCAAAACATCCCTTCAAAAAAAATCATAACAGTTGAAAAAATATTTAGAAATTAGATAAATCATAGAATTAATTTGTTTAATACATCATATAAACAAAATATACAAATAAAAAAAAATGAAGCTGAGAATAGGTGAATACCTGAAACCTCATGACTTCATTAGCCATGCTTGCCTTCTTCGCTTCTTCAGTAGCAGAAATTAGAGACAGAAAAACTAAGGAAGATGATACTGAGTATAACTTTTTGGGCCTAGCCCAATTGCTACATTTTATCACGGCCCAATATATTTTCTAACTGGGCCTTATGTTGGGCACGTAATTCAAGTCAGTATTGTTGTATAATTGTATCAATGGTTCAACTGTTAACCAACCCTGACCTAAACTGAAGAGTATTGTTTGAACTGAAACTAACCAAACCCCGAATGGTTCATAACTGAAAATTCAATGGGAAAAAAATTAATTACCACTTAAGTTAGTTGAAACTGAATTAATTTATAAATTGAAATTAACTTAACTGAACTGAATTGTTTGGCCTTGGCATTGATTATTTTACATTCTCAACCCTTAAATGTTTCACCTTGTTCCCTTATGAAAAGTAGCAACATGTGCCAATTGCATGTGTGAGCTTGTTTTCTTTCTTTTGGTGTAGAGAAAATTTGAGAAAGTTGTGTCCCAAGTACCAACTAATGTCGTTCCATATGAACTCATGAATGATCTTGCATATTAATTTATCTTGCTATGTAACAATACAAATACTTTGATCATTTATATATTTGATTTCAGATTAGTAAAAATTATTAAAGTTTATATCTATCAAGATTTTTTTATATAACGCATCTCATATAACAAATACGGCTAGTCAAACTCGAAATATTTTAATCTACTCGTCATAGTCGTCAATACAGCACCAATACACTAGAAGTCCAGAACATCCACTAGTTTAAAGCGAGTGAGTCTGGGCGCATAGCATTTATGGCCGAGTTATGTAAATAGGAGGGTAAGGAAGTAATTTCCGCTGATTCAATTTTTGCTTCTAGAATAAGTTGACTCTCTAGTGGTACATTATAATGCACCATTATGCATGTATAATGTACCATTAAAGTAAAAATTTGTCTGAATAGTACGTTTTGTGGACTATTACGAGTGTAGTGGTACTTTTTACCATCCTATAACTTTCAATTTCTTGAAAAAGCTGACTCTCTAAGGGTACATATAATGTACCATTATGCATGAATAATGTACCACTAAATATAAGTTATCTGAATACTACTTTTTAATTGCAAAATTGTCATCCTATATGCTTAGAAATCAATAGGCGCTATGAGCCAAGACTTAACCGTTTAACGCACTCATAAGTTCACGTGTTTCACTCAAAGAGCTAACAGGCCTAACACCAAAGACCTCTGAAATTCTGAGCAAAAAAAAAAAAAAAAAAAAAAGACAGAGAGAGAAAAAAACACACACACACAGCTTACCTTCAGAGCCCTGAAATTATCTCTAAATTGCCAAAATTACATGATATAATCAATTAAGCAAAGAATGATACCTATTTTTGCATTAATTCCATACATTCTTCTTTTCAGTTCTAAAATTTGCTCTGCAATTGACAGTATTACACCAACACAATTCCTAAAAGACTCAGAATCAATACTTTCTAAAAATAGCATTTTCAAGCTAGGATTTTTCAGCCCTCAAAACTCTTCCAATCGTTATGTTGGAATCTTATATAATCACCCTTTTGAAATGGAAGTTGTATCTTGTATGGGTAGCTAACAGGAACAATCCCTCACTGATACTTCTATTGTACTTAAGATATCACTCGACGAAAATCTGCAAGTCTCTGATGCAAAAAATATCAGACTGTTTGGTCATCCAATGTCACTCATCCTACAGCTGGTTTCGTAGCAGCTCAACTTCAAGATTCCGGGAACATTTTTATCCAAGGATTTCCGAACAACACGAGTCGTGGCAATGGGACGATCATATGGCAGAGTTTTCAGTATCCTGCAGACTCAGTCTTACCAAATATGAAGTTCATTCTTAACAATAATCCTGAATTCAGGAAAGTCGTGCAGGCCTGGAAAAGTCCTTCAGATCCATCAGTTGGAAGGTACTCAGTTGGTACTAACTCTAGGTTTTTTCAGATTATCATATGGGATGGGGATCGCCCTTATTGGCGAAGTGGACCTTGGAATGGAAACATTTTCATGGGAACAAGATATCATAATACTGGTTATGGTAATATACTCATTAACACCGGGTCATTCGCACAGGAGGAAGTAAGAGGGATGCTTTCTCTGGTTTTTACAGGTGCGAATGAGACTTTGTTGCCTCGTTATGTAATAATTGATCAAGGGATATTAGCTGAAAGTGGTGGATGATAGCAAGAAGAACAGGGGAATTGCGTGGCATGCCCCGGAAAATATATGTGACACCTATGGTATGTGTGGAGAATTTGGAAACTGCAACCCGCAGACTAAACCTATGTGCAGCTGCTTAAAAGGGTTTGTGCCAAAGAACGCGGAGGAATGGAGGAGAGGAAACTGGACAAGTGGGTGTGTGAGAAGAAAGAAGCTGCAATGTGGGGTTCAAGGGGGAAAACAAGATGGGTTTTTGAGGTTAAAGATGATGAAAGTGCCAGTTAATGCTGATATTGCTGAATGGTTTGTGGGTCTGAATCTTGATCAGTGCAGAACAACCTGCCTGGCAAACTGCTCTTGTTTGGCTTATACACATGATACTGGAACTGGATGTATGAGATGGAGCGAGAACTTGATTGACATAGAGGACCTTTCACCTGGAGGGGTGGACCTATTCATTCGGCTTGAACAATCAGAGCTAAGTAAGTTAATCATACCTCTTTGAAATTTTGAATGCTAGACACTTTAGGAGATATTATAGGCTTCTGAATTCTCATCTTCCCACCTAGTAAAAAAAGATCATGTTAGTATGCATATGTAAAATAATTTCTTCTGCTTTGAAGGTACTAGTAAGAGATATGACTTTAGGAACAGCAGTGATTGCCACTATCATATACTTCCTGTTCAAATGGAGAGCTCGGAAAAAGGGTAAACACACATCGGATAGAAATAGAAA